CTGAACGCTGACTTCCCACCTGCACGAGCGCTTTCCTCTGCCGTATGAGAACACCTTGTGCCGGCTCTGGTAAGCTCAGCCCAATGTTGCCAGCCCATGGGGAGGATGGGGTCACCCCATTTCCACTAGAAGCCTCAAATATCTTGCCTCAGCCTTATCTTCCTGTGGCTCTTCCATGTTGGTGATAAGGGGCTTCACACGTGGGTGAAGGTGCACGCACCCCTCCGGCAGCGGGCAGGAGTGGCTGGCACAGATCAGACTGGGGCAGCAGAAGCACAACCCTGGGCAGCAGAAACACAACCCTCCAGCATCCTGAGGTCACGCTCAGGGGCTGCAGCACCTGCCGGCAGCACTGAAATGACCCCTAACAGAGTGTCTCTGCACAGGGCTGTGCACCTTCAACTGCACCCAAGGTACAGCTGTAACCTCCTATTTACAAGCTTACTGTGACCGAATGCGTTTGTCGTTTAGGCCGACTCTGAGATTCATCAGGAACAACAGGGGAGATATTATTTAAAGGACAATAATATTTAAAGTTGTCAAAATATTTTAAAGCAAGTTTTGGGGAAAAAAAGCTGCTACCTTACAGAAGTAAGGTCCTTTACCTTAGGCAAGGATGTTGGAAAGGTGCAGGTTATCTCCTGTCTCACATGGAAAAAATGAAATGTCTCTCCAGGAACCTGGATTGACCATGGGAAAAATGCCATTTTTAGCTCATATAGAACTCCAAATGAGGAGGACCCTGGAGACTGCATGGGAGCTGACAGCTGTTTTCTGATGAAGACAGGGATAGAAGGTTGAAGTAATTGCAATTATATAAATATTTTTAATATCTCTTATAAAATGTTACGCTCTGTTCTTCATAGATTCCACAGGGTGAGGAAATACTGGTTGGGTTTTTTTGGTAGAATGAAGGAAATCTCCCTATTTGCCAGCCAGATACATGTGTCTTTCTGTATCCTTGACCATGCATCTTGGATTGGATATTAGGAAAATTTTCTTCACGGGAAGAGTTTTCAGGCATTGGAACGGGCTGCCCAGGGAAGTGGTGGAGTCACCACCCCTGGAGAGATTTAAGAGATGGGTTGATGTAGCGCTTAGGGACGTGGTTTAGGGTAGACATGGCAGTGCTGGGATGACAGTTGGACTCAATGACTTTAAAGGTCTTTTCCAACCAAAACAATTCCATGATTCTATATGGCTAATTTCAGCTCCTTGGAGCGGAAAGCTTTTCAGTTAACTGTAGAAGTGTCTGAAGGAGAATGTGAGCATACAGCTAGTTAAATTATGTATTTGTCTTCACAGGTGTAGTGATTTTTTTCTGTTTTTAATATGGAGAGATGCTTCTTTCTTTCCAGCCAAGGTGCTCAGCTGAGAAGCTGGTGGATCAGCAGTCTGCCTCACCAAGTGCTATTAAGAGGAGGTGAGACACAGTCTTAGAAAGATCTGGGTTTCTGCAAGAAACAGGGAATCCTCAGGTATGATAACTTTCTCCTTAGAGAAAAATAATCATTTAGCTCCTGTTCAGTGGATTGTGCTGAATGGTGCAGAAAACCTTTTATCAACAGACGAAACTATACAAGGGATTGCCAAACCACATCAGCCTCACACTGAAACTCTGCCTTCATGGGGAAGCTGGTGTTGAGCAGCAGTTAAAGAAGTTTGGCAGTGGATTCAACCTCTGTGCAGGCCTGAGGGGCCTTTCTGTCACGTGACCAATGGGTGAAGCCCTGAGCTTGCATGGAAAACAGCAGTTTTCCTTTTCTGCAAGAACTGCTACGGAGTATCATCATGGCAGCCTGAGCAGAAGCAGTAGCTGAGGCGCTGCAGATCCAGCTCAGACCGGGGTGTTGCACAGCTTTCTCTCTGTACAGTGTGCTAGGTGCTGAGATATGTAGAGTCTTTTTATCTGCTGGAAAGGTTAAGTGAGACCTTTCATGCTGCTGAGTAAATGCTCCTTGTGTAGGTTGCTGAGAGTCTCTCTTCCTCACCTTTGTGAGAACAGGGCCAGGATCCTGGATCATTAGCAGAAGAGAAAAGCACTGACATTTAGCACATGAGGAATGAACAGGGCTTCAGCATGCATACCAAATTATTTATTTGTATCAAAAAGAGCTGGCTAAATGATATGGGTTTGGTAAGGCAGCTTAGGATTTCTTAAAAAAAAAACAACAAACAACCAAACAAAAACCAGAAAAAACAAACAACAAAAGACAAAAAAACCCCCACAAAACCAAAACCAACCACCCCAACAACCAAACACCCCTGGCCATAGAAGGCAGGAGGACTAATGTAGTGACAGCATCATGCAGAAAAGGTGTGAGTAGTGAAGAATAAACTGGACCGTGTTAGGCAGCACAACTTTGCATAGTTCATGGGCAATTAATCTGATTTGGATACAGTGGATGTGTAAAACCACAGTCCCCATTAGCTATAGCAGATGTCACAGTTCCTATCCCTTCTGAAGAAGTCATCGGCCATGGCCATGGGCGGTAGGTAGTCCATGCAGTCCGCGCTGGGGCAGGGGAAGTACTGCGGGACCCTGTTGTCCACGTGCTGGGAGCCGCAGGCCGTGCAGCAGCAGGCAGAGGTGGTGTGTGGGGAGGGGGTATGGCAGGACCACTCCTCGGCAGGGTAGCCATAGGTCTTGGTGTCCAGAGCCGAGGGTGGGCTGTGGGTCAGCGGGGTGAAGGGAGACAGCTGAGGAGGAGAGCAGCTGTAGTTTAACGGGCTGGACAAATCAGCTGAACTGGGAGATCCAGAAGCCTAAAGATTGAGAGAAAAAACACCAAACAACGGGACATTTCAGGGTGTCATTTGGGGAAATGTGGATAGCAACCAGAATTTCCACACCATTGCCTTTCTGAGGAGGGTCATGGGACATGGCTTGGAGGGGTATGAGGGCCCAGGGACATGGCTTGGACCCTGGACGCCTAAACCCAAGAGGCAGCTCCTGTGCCATTAGCATTAACAGGGAGCTTCCCTGCGAGTTAGACAACCCCTAGCAGGAACTGGGCTCTGCAGGAAATCACAGGATCAGTAGGAGGGACATTCCCTATTCTGCAGACTCTCTCTAGGTCTGGCTGGGTCTCTCTGCTGCCAGCGAGAAACCACGCAGAAGTCCATACCAGCAGCCTGCACTGCTGTGGCTGTACCCCATGACCCTAAAAGCAGCCACGTTTCCAAATCAGATTGCTGCTGTTCTTTGCCAGGATGTGACTCCCTTCCTCACCTTCCCCCCAGCGTGCACGTGTGGCTGCTCCCCTGGGACACAAAGCTTACCAGGCCCTGGTTAAAGCAGAGCGGGACTGGCTGGAAGACGTCTGAGGTGTAGTGCGAGGATGTCTGGAAAGCACTGAAGGCTGGATCTAAGGGCGCCTCAGTTTGTAGACAGGAATCTACCAGCTGCTCCAAATAGCTAGGGCTTTCTTCGCAGGAGAGGCAATTGGAAAACTGCCACGATGGACAATAGGCAGGAACAGAAGAGATGGGTTCTGCATCAAAAGGTGCTAGGAGAGAAGGTAAACCAGACAGTAGCACGTCATTCAGTATCTGTCTTCCCAAAGGGCAGGTGTTGCCCTGGGTCGTGTTTCAGGACTCTCAGATGCTCAGTAGCCCTTTGGATTTAGACAAGGAAAAAGGCCCTTCAGGTTCAGGGTGAATTTTCTAGGGAAACAGACACTAGAAGGAAGATGCTCAAAAGCACACAAATAACTCGGGAACTTTAGTCCCCTTAGAACGCTTCAAGTATCTGCTGGAAACTCTTCTGGCTCCAGCCACTTTGGACAAGGATCCAGCTGTGGAAACTCCCTCAGACTCTTGACCCTCTGGCCTCCCTTCAACTGTTACTGTTTACAGACCTACGGGCTTGCCATGCAGTGATTTATGCTTCACAGCTTGGCAGACGGCGGGTGCCTTGCCTTCACCCAGTCTCCAGCTGCAGAGTAACTGTGTATGCAGGAAGAAACAGATGACAGAAGAATTTTCTCTTTTACCCTCCAAACAGCCAGGCAGGAGACAAACTTCTGAGAGCAAAAAATGGAGCAAATCAGTGATAACGTGGCGCTGCGCCCATGCAGCGTTGCTGGCGAAAGGGCGAGCTCCCAGCAAACCGTAGGGTCAGACTCACTTGTGCTCGCTGGGGGTATGAGAGCTCTGACAGCACCTCTGACCTCTCAAATTCATTATCTTTTCACGCTGTGTTCAAACATGGTTAAAGGCAAAGCCTTGTCTACGTGGAGGGATGCAGGTCTGAGGGCAGTGGAACTGCACATGGGTAGGGAGTGACTCAGTCGTAATTGTTTGCATGTTCAAGGTGGCCGTGTTTAGCTGGACGTGGGGAGGAAGTAAGCAGCACTCAAAATTCATAAACAGATGGAGGCTTTCCAATCTGAAAATGCTTTGGTATGTCTCACGTTTCTGTATTAACATAAGCAAATTGATTCCCAAATATTGATTGTTTAATCATTTCCTTGTCCATACAATGTATATATTCACACCTGCCCAACCTTTCAGGTCTCTCTGCTTTGGCTCAGAATTATTAAAGGATCTGTGAGCCCAAAGTGCTACTCCCCCCACTCCTTTTCCGCTTTCCTTGGATATTCACATACAGGAGGAAGAGATTCTTTGTGTTGCTGAAAACCTGACACTCCTCTCACTCCTACGGATGTTGCCAGGAGGGTGAGAACAGCCAGCTCTCCTGGAGCTCAGCAAAGTGCTCCAGGTTGATCCGGCCCTCTAGCTCCAATCGGACCCACACACTGCAGCCTGGAAAAGGGGATGCCAGCAGTGTTATTCCCTAGGGGATGAGCATCCCTTCCTGAAGGGGATCTTGCTCTTCGCTGTGGGAAAAATAAATTGCAGAAATGACAGCGTGTGAGCGTGCTCCTGAACAGGGTCATATGTACCTTGCTGGCATCCTCATTGGCGTTTCATGGGCTCCTTTCAGGTACTGACTGGCTGCACTGCCGGTTAGCTGGTAGTGCCTGCCTCAAACAAGGGCTGGAAAGACTCTAGGCGGTGGGAAAAATTGGGAAGGGGGTGGGAAAGGACATGTGGATGGGCATTGTACCAACCTGGGTGAGGAGGAGACACAGAGTCTGAAAACTGGATGCTGCTGCTGCCCCAAGAAACCTGACAAAAGAGAAAGGAAGACAAGAAACTGTAGATATTCTAACACAAGGGAGCATTTTTCTGCATGCTGAGGTAAGTCAGGATTTTGCTTCAACCTATTTATGTAAACCTCATGGCTGTGACATGGGAAACTTCCCTAGCATTGGCAAAACTACATTAATGTGCATAACACCATTTTTCTCTGAGCCTGTAAAGGCACCGAGGAGGACAACACCGATCTGGTGTAAAACCCATGATACAGCACCTTGCTGGTGTGCTCTTCCTACTGCTTCATTACTGTTGATTTAGCAGAGATGCTGCTGCCTTTGAAACTAATGTGTGTTAATTTCCAGGATCGTGAATTCCACAGTGGAGGGATCCCAAATAATTCATAGGGATAAATGGGACTGAGAATCAGTAATTAACAAGCAGTAGCAATAACTCTTGAAGCACAACTAAAGAAAACAGCGGGTATCCCCATGGCGGCGTGTCAGACGGGGTCACCATGCTTGGTGTCCATGTCGTTTGAGAACCAGCTCTGACTTCCCTCCCCACAGCTATGTGTCTCCGTGAAAACAGTCTCATTTTCTGAGGGATGCTGGAAGCTGAAGTGGACAGATCAATCAGATCTAGGAACCTGACCTGACAGAGGGGAGAAATCCACCCCAAAAGTAACAGGAGTTTTGATGCTTGTTGTCTGGGACCAGGGTTTTACTCAGCAAATACAAATACCATGGCTTTTCCTCAGTTTTAACTGATACAGACTTCTACTTTGTTTCATTTATTCAAAATGCTCTCAAGTTAGTGGCTCATTTCCCTAGCATCAGCTTCCTAGCACATCCCCATGCATTTAATTCATTAAATAGTGGCTATTTTGGGCTAGAAGTGCCTGTAGGACTACCCCTCTTCTCTCTGGCTGCAGATGTGTGACAAGGCAGACAGAGCCAAACTACCAGCAGCAGCAGTTTTCAGGTTTGGTTTTTTTCAGGTTTGGCTTTTTTCAATGCACGGAGACACTGAAAACCTCTGGGGCCTCTCCAGGACAACGCGTACCTCTCGCAGCTCACAGAAGTAACCTCCTGCACTGCCACTTTTTCCTGCGTGGGCAAAACAAGCTCTGCGTAAACTCGCAGTGAGAAGCAAAAACCAGTTCCACGCTGCCCTGTGATGCCTGGCTGCCATGAGGAGGCTGCTTCCCTTAGGGCCGGAGGGGAGGAGCGTCCCAGCATTTCCAAAGGCCAGCAGCCTCGTGTGCTCTTCACCCAGGCCACTCTGCCTGTGGCTTGCAAGCTGATCAGTTTTTTGTGCAATCAGCTGCAACCAGGTACAGGAGGTGGGAGATGAAATCTGAAAACCATCCAAACCTGTAATGTCACGAACCGGGAAGAAGTAATGATTTACCAACCTCTTTATGCAAATCCCTAGAGTGGCTGAAGCTAGAGGACTCCTACACACACTGGAAGAATGAGAGAAAGAGAGTGCACGTGTGTGTGTGTGTACACACGCAGAGATCTCCATCCTCTCCTTTAGAAGGGATGGGGCTAGGAGCTGCGCAGGTGGTACTGAAAGAAGTTGGAGACCTGGATTCAGCCAAGCACACCTGAATATTCTGCTAAGGAGCCCTAACGGAGCAGGAGGGAGCCCTGCTTAAGGGGTCTTTGCCCATGCCTTGTTTTCTTCCTTTCTGCTAGCCAAAATCTGGGGCTGTGGCTAAGTCCCAAATTCCCAAACTGTTCCACTGCCTGGGAGCTGCTGGAGGCACCGTACCTCTGGTGCCTTCATTTCCTGCTTCACATAACCGGACAAGAGAAAGCCTCCAGGGTTAAGGGGTGGTTGAAAGCAGCCTCCTGGGGGGCTTAGACTTATGGAAAAGGGGGAGGTTAGGGGAGCTTTAGTGTGACCGTGCTTTGCAATGATTGCTCCCCCAAGATGCACAGGTCAGGTCGTGCCCTGAGCGTATCCTTCAACTGATGCTGCAAAGCAGTTTGGTGCATGCTTCCACCTGGCCAGGCCACAGCTTAAATCTTGAAGAGAGAAGAGACAAAGCGGACATCACGAGACGGTTACTTACCTCTGCATCGGTTGCTGCTTGTCGTGCTCTTCTCTGCTGCAGTAACTCCTTAACCGTAATCTTTACTCTTACACCTTGATACACCTTGGGCTTTCCTGAAAGGATTGGGAAAAAACACTTTACAATCCAGCATGATTTCAGGCACGCTCCACACTGTGTCTACTCAAAAGAGATAACTGTATGGCCCTCCTTAACACCTGCTATGCAAGCTTGTGAAAAGCAGACATTAATGAAAAAGTTGGTGTTGATTATATTCAGTAATCATACATGTTTTATCCTTTACTATGTTCTTCTCCCCCCACCCCACCCCCCCAGGTGTCCTAATACCAAGTTCCATCTGGTGCTACTGTTGAATATATCTAAATTCCTATCATATTTGCCACTCTTAGAACCTGAAAATAAATGTGGGAAGCACTTAGCAGATGAAGAGCAGGAATAAAACAATGGAAAGATGTGGGAGGGCTAAACAACACACAAATAAAGTGACTGCTTTCATGACTCACCTCTTGAAAAGCCTACACTATCCTCATTTTGTTCGTTCTGTACAATTCACATTTATTTCAAATGAGCATTTAGGATGTCTTTAATCCAGCCAAAACCTATCAGCAAGCATCGGTCACTCCCTGATGAGGGATTTTTAGTACAGGAAATGGTAAAGAACTACCTATTCTGAAAAATCCCTCTCACTTGCTGTATTCACGCTAAAATATTTGAAGCCTCTGGCAGCGAGGTTTCTGTCCTAACTTTCTGCCGTCATTTTCATCCAGTAGCAGATCTTAAAACCACTACTGTCATCTCACCCTGCAGTCAGCTCTTCCACAGCGGTGACTGCCGATGGCAGGTTCCCTGCAATTGCTGCCGCAAGACAGAGCCGGATTTGCGGGTTCGGCCCGCGTATCCAGGAAATCCCACACCGCAGGCACTGTCCTCGGCTATAACCTCTCCCCACAGCCTCTTCAACTCCTGTCTGCCCACCCCCCAGCCCTCCTGCTGCCCTCATGGTGCTCTGCTTGAGGACAGGCTCTAACAAGCAAACAGGTCCCTCAAGTCAGGTGTCGGGCTGCTCCGGGTCTGCCCTGAGGGGAGTTTGCTGAGCTCCGCTCTCAGCAGCTGGCGATTATTCAGCTTGTGTTTTTAAGCTTTTTTTCTATTCAACGAACGGAAAACGGGGAAAATGTAAGGCGAACACCCTGTTACCCGGCCTCCCTATAGCCTGGGAGGGCCCTGAGCTAGCAGCCCCTTCTGCAAAGTTGGGTTACGCTGCGTGCGGCCTCGTAGCTCGGGCCTGCACGGGCCGATGGACAGAGCGAGGGTGAGCTATGGACACATCCATGACCTGAGGGGCTGGCTGTCAGGCAGCCCAGGGTGGCGTGGGGAGCCAGAGCAGGCCGGGAATCAGGA